CTAGGTATCTGAAAAAGTTATTCAACATGTATTCAGAGGAAGATGATATGTGTGGAAATCGTGTGGTTCACAGATTGCCTGCAAGACAGCATCTCACTGCAAATGCCATGATGGATGGTAGGAATGTATTAGCTGCAGGGCAGGGTTATCAGCTACCCATCCCATGTCTGGCAGTCCTGCAATACCCTCCCACACAGCACTACTTCACTCGTTTGTGCTTTCACCAGATCTCATTTCTTCATTTAAATGCTGGCATCTTCACTGGCAGTTCTCTCCTCTCTAACTTCTACAAGGCAGCCAGATGCTCCTTGTTGACAGTCAATAGTGAATTTGCATGTCTCAACAACAAACCCAAGATATCACTGTCCTTTTTAGATAAAGCTGCATATTCAGTCCTAAATGGAGAAGAGTTGTCAAAACATAGATAAAAGGTGCCATCAAGACAAATGGAGCTATGGGATCACTCCTGAAAGCCATCCCAGAGCCAAGCCAAGCCAAGCCCCAGAAATACCAAAGAACAAGAAGCAGACGGGAAGTTTTAGCAGTGCCTGCAGATTATGAAAACGCCCTGATGGTTCTTCCTACTGACAAAAATTCTCATGTTTATGTTCTGTACCAAATTCACTATAGAGCTACAACAGCGGATCTCTATATCTGCAGCCTGTGCCAACAACTTTATTTTGGTCACCTCAGTTCAGCACTATTGCCTGGCCTACGCAGGTGCTGCTAATTGATCTCAGACGCAGCACTCATCTAGGAAAGCCCTAGTAACTAAAGAGTAACAGCTGAAATTCATCCTGCTATTCCTTCCCACTAGCCATACTACAGTATTTTTAACAATTCTCTGAAGCTGCAGTCAGATCATTTACCTGCATCATTGAAATAAATGCCATAACAGCCACCAGTATCGAAGTCCTACATGATGCCTGACAGGAGTTTAGAAATACTAATGATGCAAGTGATGAACAACAAAAGAAATTCAGAGAACTTCATTAATTTGAGTGTCAGTCTCAAAATTCTTCTTATTCCTATGTAAGAAAGCAATGCAGGAAAAAAAGAAAAAAAATCACATCATGTAAAAGGCACAATGCCAGATTGATTGAAAATGGAAGATATTCTCAAGATATTTGCTAAAATAGTTAACAATGCTTTTCCATCACTACAGTCAGAGCGAGCAAGCTGTACTGATGGGAAACAATTAGAAATCACCAAACAGATCCAGCCTCAGCTCCTTTCCAAACAAAGTCTCTGCATCATAGTGCAATATAGGGAGAACTATAATAAATAAAAAAAAAGATACCAGTAAGAGTGTATACAAAGACTTTCAGCAAAATATGCTGGCCCATGAGCATTTCTGGACCTCCTACCATGTATTTTTATAACCACTTAAAGAATATCAACTTTGATCCATATTGTACTTTATTCAGCTGCAAATTATAACAACACACACACGCAAACCTCAGAATCTGTTCTCTTTTCAGGGTTACAAAATTGCTATTTAAGCCTACCCAGATTCTTCTAACAGTAAGTTTTCTGTTACTCCTTTTTGTTCTTCCACTATACCCACAGGTTAAGACCGTGTGTCTCTAGAAAACGGTAAATCAGATGGACAACTACCACACATTGAACTGCAGCTAAACTGGACAGTTCGCGCTGTCACACCCCTTTCACAGTGACTGAATTCTGACCTTCACAATATTTCTGAAGTATTCTATGAAGTGTTCTATTCTATATTTAAACACTTACTCACCAAGGAAGGGAGTGGTAAATATTCAATGTTTCTAAAACACAGATGTCACAGACTTACAGGATCTCCAGGAGAAGCTGGAGAGGGATACAAGGGTGATGCTCTATGGAACACACAAATAGACTAGCTGAAGGAAAGCAGTAAGAAGGGAAGCAAAAAAAAACTTTCAGGCAAAGACCCCTTTTAATGCCAACTTGTTCCCCGCCAAAATTATGTCTGCGCTAGGGACTACCGGTATATCAACCACACCTAATACACAAGTGTACTGGGTCTTTCTGTGTTGTTTTTTTAAATATACATGAAAGCATTATTTTAGAAATCTTTAGAATCTTTAGAAATACCAGAGAAAAAATACTGCCTCAATTATAACAACCTACAATAAATGATTTTGTGTACGATTCAGCACTTTATAAACAAAACATAGCATCAGCTTCATGAACTGTGTTCGCTTATAAAAGAATATTTTTCTTAAGTCTACAAAAGTCAGCCTCTCGTAACTGTACGTCAAATGGAAAAATCAATCACTTCCA